CATTAGTGTATAATCACCTGAAGGGGATTCAGGCCTTCTTGATATTATGGGGATTAAGAAAACTTTAAAAAGATATATGCAGTAGGCCATTAACTCAGTATTTCATTCATTCTTCTGAAGAAAACTAAATAATGTTTTTTATTATTATTATTAGGTTTAGATTATTATTTAAGATATAAATTGTACAGAAATAATACAGACAACAATATGTTGTATATAAAGTTCCTAAAAATATATTTACTTTGGACAGAGCCAGGCTATCTGTTTACCCCTCCTTTGAGTCTTAATGCTAAGCTAGGCCAACCATATCCTGACTCCAGCTATGTGCTTAACAGAGACATGAGATTGAAATCTATCTTCCCATTTCATTCTTAGAAAGAAAGCAAATAAGCCTGTTTAGAAAAAAATGCACTGTTCCTTTAAACATGTGTTCATTACTGTTGACTTCCAGTTGAAAACTGTTCGCCATTATTGTCAGAACAATGACATATCATATCTAAAGATCAGCCAAATGAAGTTCAGCCCAATTACAGGCTAACTACTGTAATCATATTGTTTATGAAACTGTATTCAGAAAGAGCTCATTTTATATTTATTTAACATTTTATATCAAATAGATATTATGATTGGTAATGACAGGGAAACTAGACCGAAAATCAACCCCATTCTTAGCTGTGACACAACATTTGAAACCACTACATGTTTTGTAATAAACCTTTGTAGGTTGCAGAGCTGAGCAGGGCTGCATTGCGTCTGCAGTCTCCTCCTAGTTCAGGAAAGGGTGTCGGCCATTTACTGTACGTGGTTTGTTTGTTTTGGAAGGAAGAGCATCATACGTTTGTCAGGGTTTCCCTGGGCTTTCACAGAGACTGAAGGCAAATACACAGTAATCCCTCAGATAATGACAAAATTCTGAGGATGTCACATTTCAGTCAGGCAGATAATAACTTTTTTAGGTAGATAATCACTGTTTTCTTGGCAGGGAGTAATGCCTCTGTCTGATTGGCTGACTGGTGCTGCTTAATTCAACTTTTATACATCTAACATTAGACACAGCAGTATCACTACTCAACTCTCAGCTCTTGAGTCTGTCTGCCCTGTGTGACCTTGCTGTGTGTGTGCTATTATGTTTACTATCTAACTGGTTGTAGATTAGTGCTTTATATCTTCTGTCTGTTCTTGTTATGCATGCCCTATTATGTTAGCGTAGTTTTGCTTTTCCTCACCACTCTCAAGCATGCTTTCACATGTCTTTATTCTGCACTCAGCAGCTATGGACACTGCTTCATCATCTGGTTTTAATGGTATTGATTTACTGTATGTGAAATCATTATTTATGAAAATTAATTAGCTTGACTTGTCTTCTTAAAAAGGATCAATCCACTCATATAGAATCTCTTAAGACTGCATAGTGTAGCAACATTAATTAACAATTAAAGCTGCAAGCAGCGTTGAACTGGCACTCGGCGCGTGTCGAGGTGTGCTGCGGGCGCGTCATGTGCCATCGTAACATTTCACGTAAATCAGATGAAAATCACCATGCAGCGCTTACTTCCTGTTGCCAGTAGCAAACGTGAAGTTTCATTGAGATTATCTGTTTTATGGCGAATCGGCGAAATTCAACGCCACGAGCACGCCGTTCGACGGAATGTCGTAAATAGCACACAGCTTTAATCATGAGATGCTTGATAGATTGCGCTGACTAAATTTGAAAGTTGATCCAGTAAATGTGCGACGGAGAAGTGTTTTAAATACGTGTGCAAAATCACAGAAAATGACCCAAAAATTCAAAATGGCCAACTTTGATGCCACGCCACAGACACGCCCTTCAACATACATGCACAAATAGCACAACTTTTAATCAGCAATATTTTTAACTGTACTGACCAGTTTTGATGTTGATCCGATAAATTCCCTCGGAGGAGTTTGTTCAAATACAACGCAAAAAAATAGCCAAAAATCTCAAAAAATTACCACGAAATTCAAAATGGCCGACTTCCTGTTGGGTTTGGGTTATGGGTCCAAGAGGCTTTTTTGCTTGTCCCATCATGATACACATGCGTACCAATTTTCATACATGTCGGTCTTACGTGTCTTGGGGGCTGATTCTGGGGGCGTGGCTAAGCCATTTTGCGACGCCCATCTACAGGACAAAGACAATACCTTAGCTTTCGCCAGAACTGAATTTTGTGCAAAGTTTCATGAGTTTAGCCCCCCAAAAAGTGTTCAAATGTTAACAAAAACGCAGATTTTTTCCACGAAAGTTCTTAGGATTCATAAAATGTCATCGTCTTAAGAAACTTCTGACAGAATTTCAGCTGGATCTGGTCAATCTGCTGTAAGATATACATTAAAAAAAATTTTTTTATAATACATTTCCTTTCACCACTAGGTGGCGCTATCACTTTTACTGAATATTATCACATATAAGTGTTCAGGGCGGGACTCT